AGACAGGACTAAAACTCCATGGAAACGCATAGTAAAAATCGTGAAAAAAAGTACCACTTTCCATACGATTTTTCGTTAAAAAAGGTCCGATAATTTCATCACTATGTAAAAAAGGTATGTTTTGTGCGAAAAACATTTTTTAAGGCCATAATTGGTGAAGATTTTGGAGGGGTAGTGGGTGTAATAATAATTTTTTTATTAAGTAGGCTTTAAATTTTAAAGTAAAAGCTACCTCTTGTCAAAATAACAATTATTTTGTACCTGCAAAAAGTAAATTTGTAGGTATTACAAAATTAACAAGTTAAAAAGTAATCGTAAACGATTTACATAAAGCGCATTTCCACTTGCATTCATTTCCCATTTGTAAGATGCAACTTCTGTTAAAATCGTAAAATCCGTCCACAAATATGAAAGATAACGTTGCACATGAGCAATCCATTTTTGACATGCTATTTCAATTTCAGTTTATAAGAAGTATTTCATTTCAATGCTTTTCTAAATAAGAAAGTTGGAACTGCGCATGCGCAAACCTAAATTTGGAAACTAATGTTAGATTTTCCTTTGTTCCAAGCGCCTAAGTATCAAATTTCACTTAAATGCTTCCATAGATAAAAAAGTTGGCACTGCGCATGCGCAAAATAAAATTTTGAAACTGGCGCTAGATTTTCCTTTATTCCAAGTGCTTATGTATCACATTTCATTTAAATTCTTCCATAAATAAAAAAGTTGGCACTGCGCATGCGCAAAGCCAAATTTTGAAACTGGCGTTTGATTTTCCTTTATCCAAGTGCCTATGTATCAAATTTCGTTTAAATTCTTCCATAAATAAAAAAGTTGGCACTGCGCATGCGCAAAACCAAATTTTGAAATTGGCGTTTGATTTTCCTTTATACCCAGTGCCTATGTATCAAATTTCGTTTAAATTCTTCCATAAATAAAAAAGTTGGCACTGCGCATGCGCAAAACCAAATTTTGAAATTGGCGTTTGATTTTCCTTTATCCAAAGTGCCTATGTATCAAATTTCGTTTAAATTCTTCCATAAATAAAAAAGTTGGCACTGCGCATGCGCAAAACCAAATTTTGAAATTGGCGTTTGATTTTCCTTTATCCCAAGTGCCTATGTACCAAATTTCGTTTAAATTCTTCCATAAATAAAAAAGTTGGCACTGCGCATGCGCAAAACCAAATTTTGAAATTGGCGTTTGATTTTCCTTTATTCCAAGTGTCTATGTATCAAATTTCGTTTAAATTCTTCCATAAATAAAAAAGTTGGCACTGCGCATGCGCAAAACCAAATTTTGAGATTGGCGTTTGATTTTCCTTTATCCCAAGTGCCTATGTATCAAATTTCGTTTAAATTCTTCCATAAATAAAAAAGTTGGCACTGCGCATGCGCAAAACCAAATTTTTTAAAATTGGCGTTTGATTTTCCTTTATTCCAAGTGCCTATGTATCAAATTTCATTCAAATACTTTTATAAGTAAAAAGTTTGCAATTCGGTTTATAAATGGTCGAGATGCGAAAAGGGCACTGTGAATTTTGAATCGATTCGATTCAACTTTTGGCATTGCGTATTATATGGCTAAAGCTATGCCCATATTGAATTTCATGCAATTCAGTTCATAACTAACGGAGATGTAAAAGCGATCGAACATTTCTAAACAAAGTTATCGTTCACACGGACAGATAGATGGACAGACAGACAAAGGAACAGACGGACAGACCAACCGGCAGGCGACAGATAGCAATGCAAAATTATAAACGATCTCTAGGATCGTTAATAAACGGCAAAAGTGTAAAATTATGGAACATGTAAAAACGGTTTTTTGTTTTTTTTACAATAACTTTTTTTGTAAGCGGTACAGAAAAAATTCCTTCCTTGGTACAAGACTCGACACCATAACGAACCAAATAGCGAAAAAAGTAGAACAATAGCTCTTAAGATAAAGAACTAGTAGCGTCGCAAAACGAGCGGACGGACGGACGGACGGACAAAGTGGCCACAATAGCGCATTTTTTTTTTATTTTTGTGGAAATGCGCTAAAAATGAATTACACAAACGCTGAAATGTGCGAAATGTATTACCTTTACGGAATGGCGAGCGGTAATTCGGCAGAAGCAAGGCGGTGGTACTTGTATCAACAAAGACATCGTACCATAACTTTTTCCAATTTCAATTGAACAAAACCCGACCACAGCTACCAGAAAAGTTTCTTTCAATTTAAATATACCTCACTCGACGGTTTGGAGAATTTTGAAAAGAAACTTTTATATCCCTACCATATCCAAAGAGTACAACCCTTATTGCCAATAGATTTTCCTCCAAGATTGGCTTTTTGTAGACGGATGCAAAACAAAATAGCTCAAAATAATAATTTTTTTTAATTTCGCAATTTTGAAGTTAACGTTTGGTTTTGTTACTTGTTCTGACGCGTTTAAATAATTTTTTCTACAACTGTCAAAAAAAACCTGTCATTTTCTGACGAATTTCGAAGCGCGAAGTACTAGATTTTTAAATCGGTTAATTAATAAGTAAGGTTGCCCTTGACAACGTGCGCGAAATCGTCAACAGTGAAAAAAAGTATTTCGCGCACGTGACAAAGTTGAACTTAAACAGCAAATTTAATTAACAATCGGTTCAGTTGTAGAAAAAATATTGTATATAACGCTAGCGCGAAATTATTTCGCGCATTTGACTGGTATTTTGACGAGGCGAAGTCTCAATGCGCGAAATTGAACTTCGCGCTCTTGTTATATAAATAACTATTGTTTACNAGATCTCCTGCTGCAGTCGAGCTTTAAAATAGTATATTAAGATACAAGTGTATAATCAAGTCTTTAAAGCACGCGCAACGAGTTTAAGGGCACGACGCAAAGCGGAGTGCCTTTAACGTTGCAAGTGCTTTAAAGACCAATTATACACGTGTATCTTATAGTATTTTTTATTATACCTGCAGTATAATTTAAAAATAGGAAATACAATGAAATCATATTGACGTTATACCTTAGACCATATAGTACATGGACTGCTATTCGCCCTATGCTTTCAATACAAAATGGATGGTCACGGATAGAGGGCACTGTAGTCGTGGGTATGTGAATCTCAGGGTAAACTAAAGTCGTGTGAACACCACTAGGATCGCTTAAAGAGCAGCATTATAGTAACCGCGTAGTACGGGAAGCTTTAAATGCTCTTCATTATTTGCTATACGTATACGTCCACAAATAAGAATAAGTTTGTTTTTTTGGGATATCTAGGCGATTAATTAATTGACGTTTGTTAATTTATAGGTTGACAGTCTCAAATCGTGTCTCATCGAACAACTTCGGACAGACTCGTTTACCCTGAAACTCACATACCCAGGCGATGTCCTTGACCATATTTTAGTTACAATTAGCAGTCCATGTACTATATGGTCTAAGACTCGAATACATGTCTAATTAAGTGGGCTGGGTGTTCGTAATTTCACGATTGCCATGGTTTGCTTATAAAAATCATCGTCTTTGTGAATAAAACGATTTCCGTTGAAAAAGATAATACACCGTCCATTAAATCGATTGTTGTAAAATCTAAACAAACGTTGGTAGGTGTAAAATCCAAATCCAGTAAAGCCTATTATAAAGAATATGAAAAGTTGTTTCCATGGATGAATAGGAAGTTACTTACGAATACAGTCTTAAATGCATCCATAATGCTGGAATATATGAAGGAAATGTCAAAGGTATTTAAATCTTCTATATTTTGGTGCATTCATTCAAAACTTTAAAGCAATGCTGCGATTAAAAAGTGGAACAGATTTGGAAGCATACCCTAAATTACGCGCGTTTGTGAAAGCTTCAACCAAAGGATAGGTACAAAAGCCAAAGAAATGTTCTGCATTTACAGAAAGCGACCTAAGAGGATTTTTTATTTCATCCAGATGACAGTTTCAAAAGTCATACTTGAAGTATCGTTACTTAGCAACTTTAAAGCACGTGTGTTTTAAAGGCCCTTTTTCGCACGCATTTGAGTGTTTAAAACGGAGATTGTGATTCAGGTATAATAAAAAAAATTTTTTTCGCACAAAACAAAGTAGAAAATGCTTACAAAAACTGTTTTCTGTACGATAAACGGTTCCGGAGGTATTCGCGAAATTTTTTTTCAATTTCAACTCCCTGCACTCGAAAATTTTGCATTTTATAGGGCAAGTTAATAGAAACTTTTTTTCAAATGTTTGGACGAGAGGTATATTATGATCCAGCGGATAATTGTGGGAAAAGGATAAATAGGTAAATAGTTAATGACTAATCATCAAAATCATATATCTAAACAGATATTATATTTATTAGCAATTATATTTTCATGTGTGCTATCAACAGTAATTGTGTCGCGTTCTGAAGACTGAAAAAGGGCTTCTTTTCCATATGCAGGTGTACTGTTGTCTGTAATTTTCCTTTCGAATCGATTATAGTACGAACATCCTTGGCCGCATTAGGAACGTGCCTTGTTATTACTACTAATATTTTGTGCCTTTGAATAATATATTTCGGTGTATTTGAATATAAGACGTAGTTTCCAGTTCGACGTCGAATTGGAAGTGTGTCAATGGAGAGATTCTATTTAATAAGTTTTTGTATCTCTACTGTGCTCGGTTTCCCTTCTCTGCAATTAAATGCGAATTCTTCGAGACAACCGTGCACTCATGCAGTGATACAAAGATTTTTTGTTGAATCTACGTTCTTGAATGTGATAACGGACGGTAGTCAACTATGCATAAACACTTTATTCTATAAAGAAGTAACAATTCCACACACAATATTAAACGTTAATAAGAAGTTGGATAAAAGGTCATTTTTTTCTTATGGTGATGATTTTGTGCTATGTGCAGAGGGCGAGGAAGAACGTCATTTGTCAATAACGACACTGGCAAACATACGACAGTTTCAAGACAGAGGGAATGGAAATATCCGTTTATTGCTTATAATTACTGGAAGAGTAGTAATAGATCACTTGTATATGATGTTTTGGAATAACGGTGTAAATGATGTAGTTGTATTGGTTAACTGTGGACAAAAGCAAATGTTGTATGTAGCGGATTGGTACGACCCAGCGAATAACTGCGGGGAAATGGTAAATAACGTCAAGTGTCAAGATTGTAACGAACCGATTACAATAATTAGTGCTCCTAGCACTACACTAAACCTCAACGGGTGTCCAGTATTCTTGCTAGTAAAGCAACCAGGTCGACCACACTATTATCCTGCTGTGCGATACGAATTCTTTCTTTTTAAACTATTGGCACAACATTATAATGGAACACCTCTGGCATTACCAGTCAGAAGTATGGAAGAAGGCCAAGCCCACATAATGACTAGCAAGATAATGTTGCAACCTACAAATGCAGTATGCTTAGATCGTTATAGCTTATCTCATTCTACTTATAGTGCCGAAATTATTTGGGTGGTACCAAAAGCTAAACCAGTTCCCGCAATTCGTAAAATATTTGTAACCTTCCAACCGGTTCTGTGGTTTATGATCATGGTGGCATTTATTGTGACCACGGTTGTTTGGTGGTGTATACTGTCATGGAATAAACGCAACTTGAACTTGGAAAACTTGGCAATCGCGGCAACTGATGTCAGCTCGCTTACGATATTTGGCTTAGTTGCAAACGTACCAGTAGGGTTTGCCCTACGTTGCCTTTTATTAACATACCTTATTTACATTATCCATATAAATTGTGGTTTCACGTCAAATTTGATTACGATACTAACAGTTACGCAATACCAGCATCAAATTAATAACTTAGAAGAATTGGCAGATGCGAACCTATCTATATACATGGAGTCAAGCTTCATGAAAGGATATTTCAAACCGAATTATGGCTGCTATGGTCTTTGTGAAAAATTGCAAAGGTTATTAGTTCCAATTTCTTCAAAACCTCAAGAGCATATTAACGTTCTGAACTGTATACATGAATATGGTGACCGGGCTGGAGTAATGGTGTATACTGATTTCATCCAATATCAATTCACTATGATGAAAAAATTGAACGTGCACCTAATTACCGATAGTTCTGTAACAGGAAAAATTGAATATGCGATTCATCACCGGCGTCACCATCACTTTGCTCCATATTTAAACTATTTTCTGGATTTGCTCAGAGATTCTGGAATTAAGAATAAGCAATTGGATGATTACCAAACCGATTTTACAAAAGAACGAGATATTTTCAATGCTGAACAACCAAAAGCAGTGGTCTTGACATTGGGTCACCTTTATTTCACGTTCGTCTTACTTGGAATAGGCATCATAGTCTCTGGAGCAGTTTTCTTCATAGAACTTACACTGCAATCGTATTCAACTCACTAAATAATACTTGCAAATACCTACAAATTAATCACGTGGCTTTTGTTTTACCTACCTAATTGTTCCTTCACAGATATTTTAATTAAACAATATTGTAAAAATTTACAATTCTTTGATTTTGTATTACTAAATCTACCTGCAACGTCCGAAGGTGGATAAAGTGTGTTTCCTGCAGGGACAGGGACGATTTCTTTATTATCTAGTAACGAAATAGGTACCGATCTTGTGATAAGCCCAGTTACGAAGATTTTTGGAACCTGAAACGACAACTACAGATCCATGGCGCTACACAGCCGGTAATTATACGATGATCGGATGCGGTCTTGATAGGTTGATCTGGCGCACCGGACACAAAATGCAATAAGTAAGTCGGTGGATTGCTTTTTCTTCAAGAATGGAAGATGCTATATAAGCAAACGAATTGCGATTCAGTTCTAATTGTGGCGCCTAAGTAGTAAATAGATCGCGCTGTTATAAATAATATTTTAGCGGTTATAAATGATTAATACTTATAAATTTATTGTTTATTAATTACAAATAAATAAAGGATGTAATTAAATTCACGTTAGAATATTGTTGAGAAAAGACACATTTTTATAAAATAATCATAGGTATTGTTTTGGCTTGCATTTATTCATGACCTATTCATTGTATTTGGATAATTAGTAACTGACGCCCGAATCCCAAATGTATTAATTTGTACACTATTTATATTCTGTATTGATATCCGAAAGGTGCAGGTCCAGTTTTGTTTATCTTATTCGTAAAGTTGAAATTGTACATCGCTACCACCATATCAGAATTGTAAAATTCCAAGTGTTGACGAAAGTTGTGCCTTCAATAATAATAAAATTATCGTTAATAAATTCGCCTCAGTTTCGTATTCATTTTTCACCTAAGATTTACAGTCCATCTGACAAATATGTTATTATATTGTAAACCTTAAGGTGGGTTCATAGCTCTCCGTTCATCCGTTGCGTTGATCCGTCAAACGGATAGTACGTTTTGTTAAGGTTCATAGCAATCCGTCCACATTGTACATTTGCAAGTATAACCATAACCTAAACTTTATTTTGTAGTGTACCCTCCGTGATTTTCAGTATGTGAAAATGATACGAAAGTAAGAACACATTGCTATCTGATTATTACCGTGAAGAACGAATAGGCGAACGCTGTTAACATACCAAACATAACCTCACTCTTGTTAAAAACGGACCAACGGAAACGTAAATGTTCAACTTCAACCAACTTTTCCGTCGTAAACGGACGACGTACGATTTAAAAATTTGCTGTCTTCTGATTGGCTAACGGACAAACGGAAACGTATGAACGGAGAGCTATGAACTTACCTTTAGGCTATCTGCAGGGTGTCGGAGATATTTGGAAAGAACCGAAATGCACTACAGTCTTCTTTATTTTTGTTTGAGGACGAGGGTGCGGATAGTGAAGAGTCAGATGAAGATAAAGAAATAAGTAGTGACGCATCAGATGATTACCATGAAGAATATTAATTATAAACTTATCTAGATTGCACTACAGTTAATAAAACAATTTTCTAATGTTTTTTGTCTCCACCTAATGCCATTTTTACCAGTGAATTCATATTACCGTTGGGCGTTGAGTGAAGGACGATATTACCTACACTTCTCACTTGTGCGCCTATAGCATCTGCTTTCTCGCCTGGCCAGAACCGCCTGGCACCCCCTATACTTAAATCCAGCACATATCAAAGTTTCAGTTTTGCAGAACCAAGTTTTTTCAATCATATACTGCACACCTTTCGACCTACCTGTCAGGTACTGGTGTTCACCAAAGTCGCCTGTCAATTTAAAAAAAAACAGTTTCACAAATGTAGCGGCTAATGGGGTGCAGGGCTGCAAAGTTGGACTGGGTCAAGCATAGAGTGACCCAGTGACCCGGTGACCCAGTTAGTTTACTGACCCAGTGACCCGGTCACCCAGTGACCCGTTGACCCGGTGACCCAGCTTGACTCGGTGACCCAGCTTGACCCAGTGACCCAGTTTGACCCAGTGACCCAGCTTGACCCGGTGACCCAGCTGACCCGGTGGACCCAGTTTGACCCGGTGACCCAGCTTGACCGCTAGGTGACCCAGCTTGACCCAGTGACCCATCTTGACCCAGCTTTACTCAGTGACCCGTCTTGACCCGATGGCCCAATAATTAAATTATTGTTAGGTATCACCCAAAACAATTTCAAGAAACTTTTAATTGCATTTGTTTATAGTTTGTAGTCAAGTAGTCAATGAAAGTATTTATAGAAAAGATTTATTTGGATTAAGCTAACTAGTAGAAAAAAATTAAATGTGAATGAACACCTGTAAGCAAACTGGTAAGCCCTGAAGCAAAGAAATAACATTATTCTAATACAATTCGGGACATGGAAAGTTTTTTACGGCAGTATTAAAGCAAACATCACAGAAATGGTAGTTGTCAAGCAATCGAGTATTATTTTCAACAAACCAGCATTTCATTTATTTCATGATCTGTACACTTGAACCGAGGGCACTGACCTAACTGCGTTATTCGATCAAACTAGGTGACTGGGTCGAATTGGGTCCCCGGGTGAAATTGGGTCGCTGGGTCACTGGGTCAAACTGGGTCAAGTTGGGTCACTGGGTCAAACTGGGTCACTGGGTCAAACTGGGTCACTGGGTCTAACTGAAAAGAGTATGACGTGACCCAGCGACCCAGTGGACCCAGTGACCCAGTCCAACTCTGCAGGGCTGAAGCTGCTATGACACACCCACTAAAAAAATTTCTAGCCATACAGGAAAACCGTTACGGGGATTCACGAGTTGTTGAACTTTAAGATGAACGACTAGGTTGAGAAATTATTTCTACAAAAGTTGGTTGTACGTGCAAATAACAAACGACGACTCAAATACTATTGTCAAAAAAAGTTGGAGATGTATGACCAATTATTGGATTGACGATATTTAACGTAGGATAGGTGTAGATCAAGCATCAACCAAAGCGTAAATAAACTCTAAAGAGCATCTAAAAAAGCTGCAGAGCACCTCGGTGTGACCCTACGGGATCATTGGATTTGATTCATTTTCATTTGGCTTATTACTTGTGGCATATAGGTCAACTGTGAAAAGTTTGAACCAAATCGGTCCAAGGGTTTGACAGTTATCGTGTTCACGGACAGACGGACACCATCGACTCCCCTATAAAGCTTGTATCGCTTTGCTCTGCCGGTTAATAAATAAATATTGCCGAAACACCCCTACATTCGACGTCTATTCCCTCATTACCTCTGTTTAAGGAAAATAACTGCGTTTCAAAGTACATTCTAATACAAAATGAGAATGGATGTGTTAATGATACCTAAGGGATGATGCATGTGGCTTGTGTTTCAATCAAATGCGTGAATAATAAGCACCATTTTCAATCCGCTACAGATTTCCCTAAGAAAAACGACTAGGTTGAAAAAATATTTTCACAAAGGGAGATGTGTATCAATTTTATTTTATTGGCGATATTTAAGGGGATGATACGTGTAGATTGAAGACATTGAAATTTGAATAACGACATTTTTCACTCAACGTTGAACGTCAATCAAATGGGCGACTACCACATTGCTTTTTGCCTTTTTCCTAAAAACAGTCGAAAAGCTGGGGATGCGTGCATCAATTTAAAGGATAGTATAAGCACAGATTTAAGTATAAGTAGATTTAAGAGTTAATCAAATGCGTGAATAATTATTAGTAGCTCCTAAATTTAAATTGAACACCTTCCCATGTTATTTTTGCGTAAGAGCACATAAACAGCATCTCGAAAAAGGGGCAACACTTGTCATCCATCCCCCCAAAAAAAAAAACAACATCAACAACAAACTAAGTAGTCGTCATCTGTAAATCTATTTGGACCCCGTGGTGCTCCGTTTATTGGGCGGAATGGGGTAGATACACATTTTAACAAAAATTTTGGGGCACTTTCAACATATTATACACTGTGTCTAAGATAAGATCATGGGGATCTCCGAAACCATAGAAGATACGACGATGGTCAAATTAGAGAAAAGATGCGCAATTAAAGAGGTATTATCATGGTTTAAAGAAAACCGGAAAATTCCGATTACTTCCGAAGGTATGTCAGAAAAACTTAAATTTACCGATATCGTTTTTAGCGTATTACTCTCAAAGTGAAAAATCGCTATTGGCTGCACTCTGTCGTCCGTCCGTCCGTCTGTCAGTCCGTCACACTCACACGACACGACAAACAAAACTAATCGCGGACACATATTTGATTAAAATCACATCTAAAAAAATCTTCAGGACTGAAGCGACATTGGCGAATTAAAAAGCGTTTCATTTTATTTAAAAAAATGTGCAGTTGTAATGGCCAGTTGCGCCGTAAAAATTAAGTATCGCTTAAAGTTAAGCACAACTTAAATCGTTGCCATAGATTTTAACTGGGCATTAGTCTCTTAAGGCTTACAGAAACATTTGGGATTGTATTATAGGATCCTGTTGCGATCTAGTAAACCTACCGAAATTTACACATACATTGAGTCGTAGCCTGGTGTTATGGTCATGTGTTTGGCAATTGTGAAAGTTCTTATTTGCAAAAGGCACTCAAGAATGTATGCGCTCGGAAAAGTCCATCCATATTGAGATACGCGAAAAATGTTCTGGGTTTGCGATTGTCATACAAACGCAATGATAAATGACCAGTATTGGAGGGATTTGCCGATGCTGATTATGGTGGTGACTCAAATGAGCGAAAATCGATTTCTGGAAAAATAATCGGTGTTTGGTTTAACGGTTGGATGGACAGCACGAAAGCAAACGTCCGTCGCTTTATCAACTACGGAGTCGGAGTACGTTTCTTTGGCGATTGCTACTGCTGAAATTATGTGGTGTACCGTGGTATGTTATGTGAAATTGATGTACCTACCTATCTCTGGATGGGCCAAAGATTATTCATCAGGATAATCAAGATATAACATTGATTTGCGCGAAAAGGTTTCACAACAAACGAAACATATTGATATAAAATATCATTTCATTCGTGATGGCAGTGGGGAGCAAATAATCAATTTTCGTTATATTAATAATGACAAAGATGTTGACAAAGAATATATTCCAGTATATACTCAAGAAAATTGGACTCATGAATTGATCTGCATATTATTTTATTTTTTATAGTTATTGTTTTGTTGATGCAAATATTTAGGACTAAAATTGAATCGAGATGGAGTGCTAGAATATAAATGTAATAGTCTAGGGCTAGGTAAGTGGTTTCAATAGGCAGGTTCGGCATTTTTTTATTTTAACTGAAATCGAGAGATTTTGTTATTAAAAAACGATCAAAAAAAGATTGGGTGCAAAATATTGATTTTTACGTCCGGTGTAAGCACTTTAAAATCAAGGGCCGGCGCGAAGCATGAAAACGTAACTGTGCGCGAGACTACCTACCCCGCATGACGTCAGTAGCCAGAAACATTTGCCGCCGCGGCGTTAGCAGAGTACACAAATTCACGTAAATTGGGACCGATTTATTTATTATCTGCACAATGCTGCAAAGTTATCAAACACACTACTTCGCGTAATTTACCCCATGTTAATGTGGAAATCGAGTTTTTGCAGATGAATATGTCTATTTTAACGCCGCTGCTCTGAGGTTCATTTAAAATTGCGTTATTAGGCAATTATTTATAACAATGATTGTAAGTCTGCATGAAATTTCAAACTTTGACGCGCGAATTGAACGTTATTTCCATTATTCTAAAATCTATGCAAATTTGTGCGTAAATTCGAAAGGATGAAACAAGGGATAGGTAGTACATAATGTTCACGTAAATTTCGTGCAAAGGGACTTTAAAAAATCAGTGTTTTATTGATTAGAGCTTAATTGTAACTCATAAGGCATCAACATCTGGTAGGGCACCAAAACCTGATCCGGCTCCGCTTCGAAAAATACCTAGTTACACCACTGGACGCCGCGCCGGCCGGTACTAACCGCTTATCTTATATTGAAGTTAAATTATGTCAGAAGATACAGAGACTCAGAGCAGAAACTGGCGAGAAAAGAAATTTGTCAGGTGCATTTGGACACTTTGGCGGACGATGACAATTAATTTTTTCGGATCGACACCGTTGATGAAACCTGGGTTATTTGCTTACTGTTCCGCAAAACAAGAACCAATGCAGTGGGTCCAAAAGAGCTTTGGAAGGGGTAAAGAATTGATAATTATGAGGTCAGTAAAATACAACACGATGTTAAAAAGTTTATAAGTACATACAGGAATTGGTATAAAAATTTACATTATCAGCACTTTGACATGTGGTAACATTGGCATCAATTAAATTAACACTTACCTACATCTTGACTAGAACAAAATAAGTTAACGAAAGAAATAAAGAAACTATTTACAAAAAGAACTAACTACTAATTAACTTAATCGACGCTTAATACTCTCAGGGTCCTCTTATAATACATAATCGTGGCCTCCCGAACAGAAATGGTTCCATAAACCGTACACCATTTTCCGAGCTCCCTCGGGCTCTTCTGTCAAAAACTGCTAGACTCATTCCTGATGCTTTCAAGCACCATAAATGACAACTCAACCGTAAGGTAATCACGATTTGGAGCTAACCATTGGAAGGGTCTCCAAGAAGTTGTTGCAGTCGAAATTATCTTTAGTGTTGGTATTTTCAATCATCTGCAATTGATAATTTTATTAGTAATTGCGGTGGGAGAACCTATGAATGTGTATACCGTAATCAACTGGTCAACGCCAAATAGGAAGCCCTCTTCGTGGTTACCCTGCGTCCACGGCGATCTGTGATTGACAGTCATTCCAACTGGCAAACTGTTGGTCTTAGCGAAATCGATAAGCCAAGCTCCCACCTTTGTGTCATCGTAAATTATGAATAGACTACTTCCGATAACTTCATGGTTCTTGAAATAATCTGACTGTTCTAGCCGACTTCGTATTTCACACAATCTGCTCAGTATCTTTTGCTTAATGTCGCGTCGTTTGCCCAGGAAGGTGTCCAGAATGTGCATGACTTCACCCTTAGATTTCATCTTCTTTAAGTCGGTGATGGGAGGCGAACCTCGACACTTCATCGCTTCTATTCGAAAGCCGTAGCTACAGGAGGAGGATTGCTGCTCGCGAAATTGCATGTAACGCAACTTTGTGACGGCTTTAGCCTCGTGCTCCTCGGCCGTCGGCGCGTTGGGATCAATGGCAATCATTTTTTGGTATAGATCGTTTCGTGCTACTTTTTTTTTCACTTCGGACTCTAAGAAGGTACGCGTGCCCATTTTGACGTCAATGACGTGAGGATCCTGTGAGTTAGTTAATTAGAATTATTAGGCAACTGGGTTGGGGACGAACATACTTGAAAACCGTGGAGAAGATCTTGAAGTTCGATGAATTTCTCGCCTTGGTAATCGACTTGCCTATAGTATTTTGGAATGATGTCTCGTAGCAGGATATCCTGTGACAGTTCTTCGTAGACCGCCCTTTCGGTGTCGTCCGAATTTCCAGAGCGCTTTTTCCATACCGTACCAGGTCCGGCAGGTGCCAGACTATCGGGGTGGCCGCTCAATTGAAACCAATTGCTGCTTCGGCTTTTGAGAAGAACATCGCTAGCTGGTGCGCTTAAATCTAGCGCGTTCTGCAACAATTACAAACGCGTTGGTAAATTATCATAAAACGAAGGAAACGGATGTGGTAATGATCTGTTTAGATAAGCGGCATAAAGTTACCATTGACTGTTATCGTGAATTTTGCCAAAGGCCATGCACAATGCGTGCGGCACATTTTGGGTTATGGTCACGGATTATTCTGCACTAACAAAATTTGCAAAACGCGTCATGAATATTTTTGCACGCTTTTACCTTCAAATCCCTATACATTTAGCATATGTGTACAGTGTTGAGGTCACACAACGACCTAACTCGCCTAGTTGTACTTTTAAATTTTTCTTATAAATTATTTTCCCGTCGTACTCGCTCACAATCAAACAGGAAAATATCTCGAAAGGAAACAAGCAGTGAATGAACAATTGAACATAAAAATGGTAATAAAAGTACGATTGAGATTTTACGAGTATAGGTATTTGAAATTGATAAAAGCTGTAATTGCAACTTACAATTGCCAAAAATTTGAGAAGGGACATTTCATCTTCTTTACATTTTTCGGGCGCTTGTGTTTTGGCTACGGAAATCTTGCTATTTTTTCTCCACCTTTTGAAACCCGTTTGCGTTGCCTCCGATCGTACTGGAGATGAAGGCCTCGATTTCCAAATTCTGGATAACTGAATGTCCTTGTCATTGGTCTACAAGAAAAAGAATCGTATAAATTATTTCAGTCTTGCACGTAAATCATTAGCATATTTTAAATATTGTTGGCAACTTCGTTTTAATCAAGGACCATAATATTATACTAATTAGGTAGTTTTTAAATAATTTGGTGTACTAATTGGCAGCGTGGTAGGCTTGCGGTGCTTCATCCTCAAGAAGGGTTTCGATAAATCATGTTTGAGGACAGTTCTTGGTTACATGTAGGTAATCCTATTATCGAGGTTAATGAGAATTTCCGCTCCGCATTAAATCAATTTTAATTCTTCCGTGTTTTCTCATAGGTAAAAATATCGAAACCTTTGAGAAATGTATTTTTAACGACGTTGTACATTTCCGAAATGAAGCGATGCCAATAGTAATTAGGTAATAATTGCTTTGTAAAGGTACACAAAAAATTCCATAAGTATGAGAAAGAAGGTGTGCAAAGAAGAGGGTTTTTTGAGCGATTTTCAAAAAAGCGCTACGTACCGAGAAAACTCTGCATTTGACACAGTTTAATTCGGATATAAGTCCAGCGTAAGTATCCTTTCCTTTAGCAGCCACCACGTTTAAATACATTGGGATCATAGTTAAATGATTCACACACATTTTAAAAATTCCCGTTAAACTCAATGATTAATAATTTTTTGCAAACGGCACTTCAGTCACACAAAACATTACTAAAACATCGCTTTATGTTCAGGTCTAAACTGTATAGTAGAAGCGCAACTCGTTATAGATATTGTTACTTTCATATACGTCACGTTGCCCCTCTACATTTCATAAGAGAAACGCAAATCCATTGCTAAATGTGATAACAAAACGTTCCTGATTATGAGATAATTCAAAGAAACATCGTTTAAAAGGACTCTAGCTGGAATGAACCTACGCCATAATCAAACCGAAAGCAAAAGCACTCAACCCAAAAGGACGAACATTTTCCAAATTATATTGAGATTTTCCAAAAATGAAATGCGTCCACAACGAGCATTATTCTTACAGACAACGTCATACTTGCGGTTGCTTACCTTATTTCTGTCTCTTTGACGTAAATCAGTTTAAATCGCAATTGAATCTTCATTATCGGTGAAAGTACCAGGTAAGTAATTGATATTTGAAGGACTCTGTCGCGCAAAAATCTCTATCGTTTTGACGACACCGTTAGTATTTGTTAAACCAATAAAGATCAAGCCTATATACGGTTTTCAGTATACAAACATTGGGCCGTCAACAACTACAAAAACGGCGCAATTTGAATTTTTTAATCATCCATTAGTTGATCTTTTCCTCATTTGAAATTGTACAGTCAAACACGAAGCAAATATACTATTCAAATTTTGCTCATTTGGAATGTCGTTGAAGACCGAAAATATTTGCATGGTATCATCGTCGTAGGGGTAGGTGGTTACAACTATGATCATTCTTCTGATGAAAAAACTTTCAAATGCCGGAAACATACACACTGCCATAGGTATGAAAATCCGACTATTGAAATCGAGGAGAATTACTTACTGGCCATTTGGTACAATCGAATCCACAAATAATGCATATAGCTTGTATTTATTTCACTTAACGATACTTATCAGCAAATCTTAATTTAGCATTTACATTGCGAATTTTTTTACCATAAAACGAGGATAACCGCAGTAACTTTTGGTCCCTATACAGGGTGGTGACTTGTGTAACACATCATAGGGATCATTAACTGCAACACAGTAACCAAGTCGATCATAATAGTTATTTATGCATCAAGGGCATTAAGGCGATATTTATGCCGAGGGCGACAGAGCCCGAGGGCCTCCGGCCCGAGGGATTGTAAGTCGCCCGAGGTTAAATATTGAGTAATGCCCGAGGTGCATACAACATTTTATTTTTCATCGTTCCAAAGAATGCATTTCCAATATACAAATGTCATGATTATTGTTTGCCCAACATTAAAGTGCTTCATACGAATCAAGTTGCATCTTTTTTATTACATAATATAACTCCGTCAATCACTTTGACAGGCCGTTTCAGGGCATAATGAGATGACAATCCATTATGCCCTCTCATTATGCCCTTGGGCGTAATAGACTGCTTCATATATCACATATGACATATAATTGACATACAATACGCAAATGAAAAATAATAGTTATTTATGTATTAAGGGCATAATAGTGATGTTTATATTCTCGAGGACGACGAGTTAAAAAGCTCGAGGGCCTATGGCCCGAGAGCTTTTTAGTCGCCCGAGAGTATAAACATCAGTTTATGCCCGTGATACATACACAATTTTATGTTTTACAAATAGTTTATTCGCCAAAATTCGTTTACAAAATAATTTATTATGTTTGATCGAGTACAGTGGCGGTTTCTCAATAAGTGCACATGAGCACGTGCACTCGCAAAAATCATTTTATATAAACGAAAACAATAACAATTCTATTTATATATTTAACATTCTTGCACGTTCGTATCTCGCAATAAAAATAGTTCACAGCATCAGAATGGACAAAGAATGGCGTTACAGATTTAGTGCATTTATCCGAAAAAATTAAAAAATATCAATCTTCAAAGGCACATCATTGAGTAATTAAATCACTCAACGGGCACATCATATATCTGCTAAATTGAGATTTAATTTATTAGGTAAGCAAGATATACGGCAACAGTTAAATAGTGCATACCGTTTGAGTATCGAAAAACGTAATGAGGAAGTAAAAAAGAACAGGTATGTTTTATCCAAAATTATAGACCGTAGGTATAAAATTTTGTGTTGCTTTGGAACTTGCTCTCCGCAGCCATTGACAAAACGAGAAAATTCAATAAACCCTGGAGTATTTAGAGGTCTCATCAATAAGCTTTTTTATGCCATTTAAGAGGCCCAAAAAACTTCGTGTTGCGGTGACACTCAAAAAATTTTCGCCTCCGGCTTTTTGCCCGTGGCCCCATTTTTAAATTGTGCACCCCCAAGACACACCACTACGCGCCGCCACTGATCGAGTATGCGTGGTTCGAATTTGTTAATGTGATTGAAACCATCCAAACGTCAAACGTAATTTTAAATAATTCAATTCATCGTGAATGAGCAAGAAGTTCCAGAAACTATACGAAATAAGGCCAATCTTGTGATTTAGTAAGTATTTACAATTAATAATTGACGTTTCTAATTTTCAATGACCTGCAAATATTTGTTTGTTTTGTCATTAAATATAAATGAGTTACTATGGTGATACTTAATGCCCTAGGGCATAAAGTGGTACTTTATGGATATCTTTTTGTTTTAGAAAATTCCATGGCATCGCATATTATTCAAAAAGATGGAGGTTGAATTTTTCCAATTTGCCGTCTTTATTATGCAAAAAATTGAAAACTAATACGGTTGATTGGCGTAACAAAATTTTTTCTACAAAAAACTTTAATACATTTTTGCTCTAAAATAATTTGGGGAGCCAATAATCGCATGTTATGAATTTTACATTGAAATCCCTATGATGCGTTACGCAAGGCACCACCCTGTATATGGCGAAGCCAAAATCCCAAACGTGAAAAAATCATCTCGACCAATTTGTACCTGGCGTCGTTGACTTTTTTTTTTGTTAATGAAACTCTTTGATATAGTAATTTCCCCTGAAAATGAAGACCAAATTTGATTTTTCAAGAAGAAAACCGTGATTTGTCCGGACGTGGACATTTTTTAAATGGAAGCGGTTACTTTTAAAATCAGTCTGGCAATAGCTTTTGTTTTATCGATAGTCTCGGTTCCAGCAATGGGCAACCGCTCACAGAAACATTCCTCGGAAAATGAAATATTCCCAGGGAAATTTCCGAAGTATTTACAGGGTATTCCTTCAGGGGAAATTGCTATATCAAAGATTTTGATTAGCAAAAAGGTCAAAGACGTCTATCGTTCATCGAAATAAGAATGTTTTCCCTAGTGCAAAGATCTATGGTAATGGTAAAAGAACAAGTGGATCGGATACATTTAATACCCAGCCAGTTCATACCCAGACCCAGGCGTATTCACACAAGCGAATGGTTAAAACTAATGATTAATTTTAGTACAGTTTCTCTGCTCCACGTTTCAATAGTTTGTCTATGAGGTAGTAGCATTACCACGTTTTCCCTACGTCGAGTAATGTCTGAAAACCGACAAAATTGTACTCCCCCAATAAATTTAGTTTATTACTCCAAGTCTAAGAAATTGATTACTGTTTGGATCTTCATCGTTGATTCAATATTGTCAACACAGTCGATATTGACGGCTGGATGTCAAGATTTCTAGATAGACTTCAGTACCCTTCATGAACCCATCACTACTGAAGCGCAAATCTCAAAAATACGAGTATTGTCAATTATGCGAAGTATTGCCAAAAATATTGCTCATGTACAATCCGATTAAAAAAATTTGCTATAGCTGGGAACAAAATCACTACCTCGTTCCGACAATTCAAAATTTTTATATTCAATAATTGCTGTTATAATTATATGTAAATTACAATTATTACAAACGTTTATCAAAACCGTTGTTCTTAAACCGTTAACAAACAAGTTACAGACAACCCTGCAGACAACCAATAGCGAATTTGGGCGGCTACCGGTCAGAAACCGAGGAACTGAATAAGGACTTTATGTGAAGAAACCAAAGTAAAATAGCAAGCCATTTCATTTTTAAATATGACTAATTTCGTATTCCAACCAGTTTAATCCCCTATTATTCGCTAACGGCGACACAGCTGAACTTTTTTTGGTGGTGCAAAAACTGGCGCGTTTAATTAATATGTCCTTGACCGAACACGACTCCAATTTATGCAATGCAAAAGCGCGAATTTCACAATGAGGATTTAACGTCCTCTGATTGGACCGTGTATCCTATTTTGGTTGAGCCTGCAGTGTAACTCAGCTGTTTTAAAAATAGGGACCTTGTATCTCTTAACGTGATTTTTTTCGCATTCTTTTTCCTGATCACATTGATGTATCACAACCTATATTTTCTCTTATTTTTGTCATGAAC